TTTTATTTCACAAGAAAATAATGAGGCTCAGAGAGGGTCATGACTTACTCAAGGTCACACAGCAAATTAGTCCAAGAGCTAGAACTGAGCCCAGTTCTCTTGACCCTGAGCATGGTAGCAGTGGCCCCCACACTGAGTGTTACTTGCCTGGGCCTTTCTGCAGATGCTCCAGATCTTGCCCTGGTCCTGCTACCTGTACTTGGTCCTCTGGAAGCCACCCCAAACCAGGCTCCTAGCTCAGGCCCACTCCTCTCTGGGATTTTCCTCTTGTCCTCCCGCCCCGGCTGAATACTGAGCTCATCTCAATATGGGGTTAGTATACTAGACCCAGGGAAGGGCCTGAGAAACCAGAGGGTTGGGGAGAGAGGCTCTGTTTCTGGTTCCAACCTGGGCCCTGATAGTGAATCCTACCCCTGCTGTGGCCTTAGCATCCTCCTCTGTAAAATGGGCGCAAGTCTTCCCCTCTATACACACACCTCCTTCCCAACCTCAGTGTCCTCTCCTGGTTTAAGGACAAACTCTGGGCTCTGAGACAAAAGGGGCCCATTCCTGGAATTGCCCATCCCTGGGGAATTGGAGAGGGGTGGGGCCTTCCCTGTCCCCAGACTGTCAGGTGATGGGGGCAGCCTGAGCAACAGTAGGCTGACGGCATCCTCCCCCCCCCTTCCTTTCCCCCATCTCTGCTGGCAGCCACCGCAGCTGTCAGGAATTAAGAGCTTGAGGCTGCTGGGGGTGGGGGCGGGGCAATGGGGGGAGCAGTCTGGCTGGACAGCAGGAAAACAGCCGGGGGCAGGAAGCAGTCTGCGTCAGCCAGAGCCTGTTTGACCCTGGCCGCCCCCTGCCCTCCCCACTCTCCTTCGCCATGCTGCAAGGACAAGGACAGCTTGGGACTAGAGTTTGGGAAGAGTATGGGGAAGGATAGGGCAGGACCGGACTCAGCACAGGAAGGAGGCAATGAGCCTGGGCTGAGAGAGGGCATCACAGGGACAAGCCAGGCTGGGGAGTCAGGTGCCCATTGACTGTTGGGGAAACTGAGGCACAGAAGGGATTAGGAAGAGGCCCAAGGTGGGACAGGGAATTCGTTCATGACTTCCTTACTCCCTGGGTAGAACTCACACTAGCCTTTCCATGCTTGAGGCATCATATGTATCCCCTGGGGTAAGCCATTGTGGGGAATACTGATTCTGGGTCCCATGCAGCTGAATCAGCCTGTCCGGGGTCTGCATTTCTAGCTGGTATCTCAAGTGATTTTCATGAGGACCACATTTGGGAAATTCTGCTGAGCTGCTTGAAAGGTCAATTTTTTTTTTCCTTTGACCCGCCGAGGGAAGGTCTCTTCGTCCCCACCCCACCCCCCGACTCTACTGCTCATGAAATATAGAGGTGTAAAAGAGAAGGAGAAGGCCCTTTCTTTGAAAACCCCAGGAGGCAAATAATGATTTTCAAGTCTTGTTTGCACTGGGATATAATTCTGGCCTGATGTCATGAGGGTCTAAAAGTGCCCAAGCCTGGGGCACTTCTCAGTGCAGGGAGGAGAGTGCATATATAGGCACAGGACCTTGGCATGTGGGGAGAGGAGGCCCAGAAAGAGTGCCTGCAACTGGCACCCCAGTCCCAAATGACCCCTGCCATGGGCAAGCCCCTATCAGCAGCCCCCAGACCCCACCCTGGCCCTGCCCTGGGCCCTGGCCCTCAGCCCAGCCCCAGCCCCCGCAGCCACCAGCTGAGACCACAATTATAGGGGCCACTGGGGGTGGGGGGAGCACCAGGGATGAAAGGCAGCTCAGAGAATGGTTCCAGCTGTGGCAACTCTGGAGGAGGTTGCAGGGAAGGGAGGGCAAGGGCAGGCACCAGGGTGAGAACAGGTGGGACCCTCACGGCCCCAACCCAGACCAGGCCAGACTCAGTCCCGAGGTTCTGCAAGAGAAGTCTATCTTGGTGAAGAGGAGAGGGAAGGAGCTCCAGACCAATAAGGGAGGTCTTTGTCTTATCCTCAGGCCTCAGGGACCAGAGCCCCTCAGTAAGGTAAGGGGATTAACTTGCTGCTTTAGTCACCCAAACTCCTGGTTGGTCATTGGAAGAAAGGGGAAATGAGCCCTTGGCCTTAGGCTGATCATGGGCTTTCCAGTAGCTTCCCCACCCTTCTGCCTGCATTCTGGCTGTTCCTGATGTGGTCATGCACACATCTGGGGCGCCTCTGTGCTCTTCCCCCAACTCCCCGGTACCACATGTCCCCCACCACTCAGCCAGCAGGGAACCTTCATGGCTCAGACTGTGCCCTGGGCTGAGCAGCTGGGTGAGCAAGGGGGTGGTGGTGAGGGGGCATTTCTGAGCTCTGGGCCTAGCCTTCTCCCAAGGCAATGTGCAAGAGCATAGAGCTCTCTCTGAGCTTAGAGATGACCAAGATAATGGTCAAAATGGTGCCTCTCAGGACAAGGCTCTGACCCTTCACAGAGGGCATTTCCCAGACTTCTGCTGAGCTTGGTCACAGAAGATGGACCACTAGCATACAACTAGCAGTTTGAAGATCGCAATGCCCTCTTACGATGTACTAAAAAGCTATCAGGGGCGCCTGGGTGGCTCAGTCAGTTAAGCGTCTGCCTTCGGCTCAGGTCATGATCCAGGGTGCTGGGATCGAGTCCCACATCCGGCTCTCTGCTCCGAGGGAAGCCTGCTTCTCCCTCTCCCACTCTCCCTGCTTGTGTTCCTGCTCTTGCTATGTCTCTCTCTGTCAAATAAATAAATAAAATCTTTAAAAATAAAAAAATAAAAAACTATCAGGCACCACCATTTTTGATGGGAAACTGAGGCTTGAAGAGATTAACTGACTTGATCAAGGTCCAGCTAGCAAAGTAAGCCTTTTTTTCACTGTATCATGCTACTTCCTCTGAATTCCTTTTAACCTGACTGGGGTGTTGTCAGTTCATGCCACTGCCTCAGTTTCCTTCTGTGGCATCATGGAGGAGTCCAGCATCACCCACTCTACCCCACTCACCAGGACCTGGCAATAGAGACCGGGAGGCAAGCGTCCCAGCCCTAGGTCCGGGTCAGCCCCAGAGGTTCCAGACAGTCTGGAACCCTAGCAGCTTGACACAAGCTGTCCATGGGTCTCCTTGTTTCCTTTCATCCTACCCTCTCCTGCCCACGGCTCTCTGAGCTCCCCAGATGTCTTGCAGGTCCTGTTGGGTCCAGTTAATAGGGAAGCTGGGCTCTGTGCACCCTCTTGTGGTCTCTGAGAGAAGTGCAGGAGATATTTATTTATTTATTTATTTAGCGTATTGAACCCAGCTGGGGAAGGCAGAGCTGTGAAAATAAACCCCACCCTTAGGGAGCTTCCTTTCTCCTCCATGTGATGCCATGATGCCAATTCCACTCTCCCCCTTGGTAAGTTATCCAAACCCCCTTGAGTAGAGAGGTTCTGAGTCCAGATTCTCCATGACACTTCCCTGAAGCCTGGACCTTTGACCTAAGAGAGCCAGGAGGAGGCAGGAAGGAAAAGTCAGATGCCCTTTCCTTCCCACTGCCGCCTGATACCCCCTCTCCATACATGCCTCACACTGGGGTCCCGACGTGATTCTCGAAGGCTGAACCAAGCTAGGTCAAGAGGTGGATGTGAAGGCTTTGTGGGGAGGGAGGACAGACGCACTAGAAGGCATGGTTAAGGTCTGTTACATCCAGGATGAGTTCCCCTTCCTTTTGTTTCATTTGAAAAACTCTCCTCTCCTCCCTGTGCCCCCAATACCTGTAGTCTTGGGTGGGTGGCGGGGGGTGGGGCGCCAGTCCCAATCACAGTAATACATCTTCCTGGATGGTTATTGGTTTGGGGATGGGCAAGCGACCCATGCTGACCAAATCAGGGTCTTCCTTAAGACTTTTGCTGGGAAAGCCATTCTTTTTTAGACCACCAGCTCTAAGAATGTGGGCATCGGGCTGACATATAGAGAAAGTCTATCTGCAGCAGGAGGTAATGAGGACAGTATGAAAAGAAGAGCAGAGATAAGCTAGAAACTATAGATGTGAGGATGGTGGTAAGACAGGGGAAGAAGACAGGGGAGAAAGACCTATGACATTGTTTGAGCCACTGGGTTCAGTTGTGCTTGAATTCTTTTTTTTTTTTTTTTTTTAGATTTTTATTTATTTATTGAGAGAGAGAGAATGACAGAGAGACAGCATGAGAGGGTGGAGGGTCAGAGGGAGAAGCAGACTCCCTGCCGAGCAGGGAGCCAGATGCGGGACTCAATCCTGGGACTCCAGGATCATGACCTGAGCCGAAGGCAGTTGCTTAACCAACTGAGCCACCCAGGCGCCCTGTGCTTGAATTCTTACCTCTGGACTTCCCAGGTAATTAATTCCCTTTTTAATTATTTTTCCAATAATTCATTTCTTTGGCCTAAGCTAGTTTGAGTTGTGTATCTTCATTTGCAATCACGGTCTGCCCTGAGAGTATCAGCTCTCTATCCCCACTCCCACAGTAACTGCCATTCATTACATATAAGCTTGACATAAATTATTGTGCCAAATGTTGTGCTAAGTGCTTTTCATATCTCAAAAAAATTCCTCCCCATGATTCTATGATGATGTGAATGCGTTATGATGGTGCTGCCACTTTCCCATTGAGAGACGGAATCTATTTGCCCTTCCCTTGAATTTTGGCTGGTTCTGTGACTTGTGTCAACCAATAGCAAGTGACAGCAGTGCTGTGTAACTTTCAAAGCTGGACCTTAAGGAGTTTCTGCCTTGACATTCAACACAATCTATTTTGAAAGCCAGCCTGGAAAAGTCTGATGACACTAAAGCCACCATGCTGTGAGGAAGCCCAAGCTAGCCACCTGGAGAGGAGCATGGAGGAGCCCCAGGGCACTAGACACATAAGAGGAAAGCTTCTTCGACTGTCCAGCCCAGCCCAGCCACCGCAGCAGTGAAGGACCAAATGAAGGACCACAGCCAATAGTTCTGCCATAAGGAGCAGAACCACCAAGCTGAATTCTGGCATTCTGGCAAATTCGTAATCTACAGGATCGTGAGAAGTCATTATTTGGGGGTTGTTTGTTATGCAGCAATAGATAACTGAGACACGATGGTGTTCCCATTGTATAGCTAAAGAAACTGAGGCTAACATGCTTATATTGCAACCTTCTAAGCAGCAGCAGTGGGTTCCAACCCAGAGTGCCTGAATCCGAAGCTCATGCTTTGCCTACATACCTGGGTGGGGTAGTCATTGTCCACTATAGTATTTGGACTGTGGGAAAACTGGGGGCTTCCTGAGAAAGAACCAGAAGGAAGGAAATGTGGTTGGGAGCCAAGAGAAACCTTGGGACAGCTTCGCTTCTTCTCCTGAGTGTGATTAGAAATGCCGTTCTGAGCAGTCTTTTGGACACTAACAGGGGTGAAGTTAGTTTTGATGGTAACAAAGTCAGATGTTACTAATAACATTGTTTCATCACATTCTAGTTTATAAAGTGCTTTAATCCTATGGGCTTGGGTGGCCCTAAAAATCTACCCTCGAATACCCCCAGGGGTCACAGAAACAGAAGGACAGATGAAGGCATCACAGTCCCCTAGAATTAAGATGAGGGCTGATCTGAGAGCTGAGTACACTACCAGAGGTGTCTGGGCTTCTTTTCCTAGACCTGTTCAGTCTGTTCCTTTAAAAAGGGACGGCTTAGGTCTTCCTAAGATGCAGGCCAGAGAAACGTGGCAAGGGTGACTCTTCATCACGTTGCCAGGCGAGCTTAATCCAATAGGTGAGAAGATAGGGGCCTAAGGATGACCCCTGAGATGCTAGTTCTGTCAAAACCATCTTCCTTTACACACTCCTTGGGAAGCCTGGCCCCATGTCAGCCCCCTGGAGGCCAGCTCCCCTCCCAAACCGTGGGCCCAGTCCTATTGGTTTAAATACTTTTATTGATACTAAACTCACCCACCCACCCCATGGCCAGCAGTTCTAAGGAGTCCTGCATCCAGAGGCCTAGAGACTGGCTCTTTGGTTTCCATATGGGGGCCAAAGAGCGAGAGAGACTGCATTGCCTCCCCGCCCCCAAGCCCTCCAGAGCGCTCCCTGGCGGGTTTTGGGGGGGTGCGGTTCTCCAGCGCCCTGGGGCCTTCCTGGGCAGGCGTGAATCCCCAGCCCCGCCCCTCTCAGTTTCCGGAGGCCTGGGAGATGGGCTGTCGCCGGGAGAAGCTGGGCAGCGCCCCCGCTGGGGTCCAGAGGCCCCCCAGCCGCCGGGCGGCGCGTCAGAGACAGAGGCTGAGCTCCTTGCGCACGCGGCAGCGGTGACACTGCACGACGCAGCACCAGTGGAAGCGACACAGGCAGTTCTCCTCGAGCTGCACGCTCTCCTGGCGGTGCCCGCGGCCGCAGCACAGCAGGTCGCAGCCGCTGAGGTCCGGGGCGCTGCTGTTGCAGGCGCGGCCGCGCGTGCCGGGCGAGCCGGTGCGCCGGTTGGGAGCGCAGAAGTCGGGCGAGTCGGCGGCGTAGAGGAGGTCGGCGCGGCCGGGCGGCTTGAGAGTGCGGACGGCGGGCAGCAGGGCCTTGCCGTCGTTGGTTCCCATGACACGCGAGGCGCCGTGGAAGCGCTCGAGCAGCCGCGCGCCCACCTCGCGGAACGGGGGCAGCTTCTGCCAGCAGGTCCGCAGAGCGCACGAGCCCGACAGGCCGTGGCACTTGCACTCGGTGCGCGTATGGCTCCGCACGGCCTGCGGCGGAGAGCGAATGAGCGCGCGGATGGGGACAGATTGCGGGTGCGTGATATGGGGCGGCCCAGAGGACCGACCTAGAATAAGATGGGGAGGGTGGGGTGGACGGAAGAGAGAAAAGAGCAGGCCAAAAACAAAAAGGAGAGCGCAGGGTGGAGAGGAGGAACTCCAGGGAGCAACAGCTCCGAGAGAAAGAAAAATGAGAAAGATGGAAGAGTAAGAGAAGTGGGGGAAGTGGGGGAAGTGGGGCGCTGTACTGTATGTAGCACAGAGACCCCAGGATCCAAAGTCAGGGATGGGAGAGAAAGCAGAATGGACGGCAGGGGTGAGATTCTCCCTGGAGGGAGGCAGGCAGGGTTGCAGCTGTTGCGCTCTATTCCTCCTACCAACCTACCAACCCGGCCCCCTCTCGTTGCTGCCCCTCACGGCCCCAGGCAGGGCTGAGCAGAGTCGCAGAGCCGGCCTCCTGGGCGTCTGTCTCTGCCACCCCTCCCCACTCCTCTCTGACAGGTATGTGGGCCTGTCTGGACTTTCCTCTCTGGGCCCCCTCTTAGCCCTTGCCTGATGCCTCAGGCCTGAACCCTGGAGGACACAGAATATGTGTGAGGGCGTCCCTAGAGTACCCTGGAACTGAGGCCTAGGGTGCGGTAGGGCCCACCGTGAATGCATTACTGAGAACGGGAATCCAGAACTCCTGCCCCTTATTTGCTCTTTTGTGTCTGAAGCTGGGGGTCTAAGAGTCACAACCCCACTAGAAATTTATGGTGTCAGATGATCCAGGAAGATCATCTCTGGAAGCTCAGAGTCCAGAGGCCAACCTGATCTACGGACTTGTGTGCCCCCCTCTTCCCAGGCCTCTCTCCTTCCTCACACCCCCTCCTGGAAACAGCTGACCCAGAGAGCTTTCTTGTCCCTAAACAGGAGCTCCTGGGGCCCCCCTCCTTGCAGAGGGAACAAGAGAGGCTGCCAGGATTCCGAGGAGGGCCCCCACTCTGGGGTTGGTGGGCAGCCAGTTGGCAAGTACCCAGATTCGGTCACAGCTTTCCTGGCCTCTGCCTGACTCCCTCCTACCTTCACCAACATCTACTTTTTGTCTTTCACACCTTTCCAAGCCCGTCCCTCTTGGGCCTGTTCTAGTCCCTCCCAGGCCTTGCCTGGCTCCCCTACCTCCAGACCCCCACACCTTTGCCCCAACTTCTATCTTTTCTTTCATCCCCAGCTTTTGTCACCCTCCTCTGCCCATGCCCTGGCAGCTAGGTCTCTACCTACCCCAAGCTCTGTCCCATCTGTCCGGTCTCAGAGGTTCTTCTGCCCTACTTGAGGTCCCTTAAGGCCCCGAGTCCTCTTCCCTGGGTGTCCCCTCCCTACCCTCCCCATTAGACCACCAGCTCCAGGCCCTCCCAGGCCTCCCAAGGGACTCCTTCTTCTAGGCTAGCCACCTTCCCTCCCACATACCCCTCCCCCCAGCCCATCTTACAAGTAGTCCCTCTCTGCCAGGTGGCTCCCACACACCTAACACACTCCTGCACCCACAGGCCTTCGCACACACCCCCACTTCCTCACGCTTCCACAAACACGCGCCCACAGACCCCACCCTCACCCACGCCCACTCACACCCACCCATGCTCACACATTCACACCCACACACACTCTTACACATCCCTGCCCCCACTCACCAGCCGGCCGGCCTCGTTGTTGTGAAGTTGCACCAACGCACGGATGTCTCCGCGTCCCCGCTTGTGCCGCGCATCCATAAAGAGCCTCGACTTCTCGTCCCCGAAGTCCACGTCGTCGCCGCAGCCTCCCCACTCCCAGGCGGCGCTGCCGTCGGGGGAGCCGGCCGGGCCTGGGGGCCCGGGGGTGCCGGGCAGACCAGGGGGGCGGGGAGGGGCCCGGCCGCGGGGCGCTTGGCAGCCGCACTGCAGCAGCTCGCCCATGGAGCAGGCCTGCGTGACCGCGTGACTGGCGCCCGCGGCCGTGATCGCGAACACGAAGGCCGTCTCCCGGATGTCTGCGGGCGCGGGGAAGGGCGGTCAGCGGGCAGGACCGATGCCCGGTCCGGGGGCACGGGGGCAGGGGAGGGGCGAGGAGGCGTGGCTGGGAGACAGGGTCAGGGCAGGGTGCCCACAGACCCGGGGGACAGGCGGGGCTCCGGCAGTCTCCCCCAACCCCCCTGATCCCCTAGAGACCAAAAAGCAGCCCCCTCCCCCCGCCCCGACCCTGGGTGCTCTGCCCTCACTGACCCTGCTGCAGGATGCGCCCGAAGGCCTTGCTGTGGCTGGAGCAGTTCCAGCGGCGGAAACGGAACTGGAACTGGCACTCTCGCACCCCAAGCCGGGCGCCCCGGGCCAGCTCCGCCACTACTTCTGGCTCGGCCTGGCACAGCTCAGCCTGCCGCCCTGCCAGCCGCCGTGCTTTCCTGCAGATGCTGGTGGGGTCCATGACCAGGGGGCTGCCCACTGCCCTGGAAAGCGAAGAGCCAAGGTCCAGGGTATGACTCACGGGGCTTTGTGGGGAGGGGGGAGGAGGGAGGAGGGAGGGAGACCGGCCCTGCTCAGCCCAGGGCTAAGAGCTGGCATGTGCCTCTTGTCTCACCCCACCCCAACTGAGTTTGAGATTGTCCTGTCTGGTTCTCTTACCATCCCAGGTCCCTTCTTAACTAGATTTTGGACTGAAATTGCTATAGGGCAAGGATTCGGTCTTATCCTTCTGTGCACATCTTCATTAATAAGTCCTTATAGGAATGTGACTCAAGGTCAAGGCACGGGGCACCAGGTGAGCCAAAAGGGAGACAAGGAAGAAATGAACAGGAGGAAGAGCAAGAAAACTGTCAGAGCAGAAAACAGCATGAATCACAAAAAGATACAAAGAAAAGTGGGCAGTATCACAGAAGGATCTGGTCTTGGACAACAAGCTGGTTTTGGCAGCTGAACAACCCTGATGCTAGAAAGGCAGGGGCAATCCCAGGGATATAGAAGGCCACAGGATTTTAGAATGGCTAGGGAAGGGAAGCTCTGAAGGCAGTCACACCCCCTCTCTAGCTCAGTTTGTCCTTCTGTAAAATGGGCTTTGATCTCTAAGGTGGACCCTCAACCATGATATCCTGTTTCCTTGAACTGGAGAGCAGGAGGAAGTAGCTGGGGACTGAGTCTCTGAAGCATGATTGTGAAGTAAGTGACATGACCCTTCTGCTCTGGGGTCTGTGACCTTTTCAAATGGACCTTGAGAGCTTGTTTGGAGGTTCTAGCAGGGGAGCGCAGCTACTCGTATACCCTTGACCGAAGAACGGTCCTCCTCTATCGGGGAAGGTCGTCCTCTTCGACCGAGCGCGCAGCTTTGGGAGGGACGCACATGGAGCGGTGAGGGAGGAAGGGGACACCCGCCTAGCCAGCCAGATCAGCCGAATCAACCCTGGCGATCAATGGGGTGACAGATGTCGCAGCCAGATCGCCCTCACATCCTCTGTGACCTTTTCAGAGCAACAGGTCAGCAAGCCAAGTCCTGATGTCACTGGTTGTGACTGGTTTGGGGAGAGAGAATTGCTGTTTGGCTCAGTGGGTAAAGACCTCACAGGAAGTTCCACACACTTTCAGAAATCCCTCCATGTCTAGCCTTCATTCCACCTAAGGGGAGAGGGGTTATTTGGTTTCCAAATAGCAGACCCCTGAAGGTTAAGGTTATTCACACCTGAGTGGAACTGCTTTAATCAGATTGCTCTGACTTGAACCCTTAGCTGGGATCCCTGTGCTTGCTGGTAGGAATGAGTGGGTGGAGCACTTAGACCTGAGAGTCATTTGAGATCACACAAAAGCCCTTCAGCAGAGGGCAGAAAATGACTCCCTGGTGGGGAGAAGTGGCACCAGGAGATAGAAAACGCAGAGGAGAGTGGGAGCTAGGTGCCAAAGGTCAAGGTGGCCTACTTTTCAGTTTAGCTTTCATGCCCATCTGCCGCACCACCCCCCCAGTCCCGTGCCCATTTGTTCTGCAAGTGCAGGCTGCCCAGGCATGTTCTGGCCCCACAACAATGAGATGTAATGGGCTTGAACAGCAGCGAGCAGAATTTAGGTCTTAAGGTAGAACTTCTCAACTCTTGGGGTGTGAGATGCTTGAAGAGGGAGTTGCAGGAAGATGTGTAAGCTCAGTCCTTTAAGGTCTCCTAGTCTTTCCCCCCACCCCACCAGACCCCCACCTATCAGATCATTGTCAACCTCTCCACCCAAGTAGTCCTGGAGCCAAGATTCTTTTCTCAGTGAAGAGACTTATAGTCCAGACCTTCATTCCTCCATGCTTAAGACCTACTCATCACTGCATTCCAACCGCAGCCTGGAAAGGTCCAGCTCCAACCCCTTCCCAACCCTAGAAAAGTGGTGGATGGAGTAGTGGAGAGTGGGCCACGGGTAGGGTAGGGCAACCCAACCTGGTTCCCAGTGGCCCAATGACCTTCAAGTGTGGATCAATCTCTATCTATCTATCTATCTATCCTCCCTCCACCCACTTACCCACCTCATTACAAGGATTTGAGGCAGCTTCCAGCATGCTTGTATAGGGTCAGTAGATAAGACTATGAGCGCCTTGGAAGTTAAAAGTGATATTTTCCTTCGTTTCCCATGGCAGATTTTTAGATGCTTAATTTGTATTTCCCCCAATTTTTATTATGAAAATTTGCATGTTATGATTACTATAATACTACAATGAACACCATTTAATACACGTTTCTGAATGAATGAATGAGCCATCTACAGAGAATGTCCTCACTTGAGGCCAGGCTCCTGTCCACCCGTGATGCCAGGACTCCTTATTAGCTTCCTCTCTCCCCACCCCCTCCCCCTTACACTGGATGCAGAGGCAGGGAAGCAGGCCTCCCCATGGCTGTCCAGCTCCTTTCCCGCCACCTCAGAGTCTGGGGCTCTGCAAACTCATCTTCCCCACCCCACCCCCATGCCACTAAGCTCCCCAGTCTCCCCGCCCCAACCCTGCCCTCTGCTAACTCCCTACTTTCCCAAGGTTGACTGGCCTTATCCTCTCAAGGTCACTCTGACCCCATCCCTCTCCTCTCACTCCTCCTACCCTAGGGAAGCAGGAGAGGGTGGGGGTATGCAGGGAAAAAAGCAAAAACCTCCAAACCTCCCGACCTTGTCTGCTTGCCAGGGGCTAGAGATAGGAGAGAAATCGGGAGGAGCAGGAAGGGTAGGGCCCTCCAGGAGGTGGGGCCAGCCCTTTGCAGGGTTGAGGGGCTGCCCCAGAGTCAGTTGCTGGTCTGGGTCTGGCTCCCCAGGCTGGCTGGCTGCCTGGGAATGAGGCTTGTTTACGAGCTGGTCAGGAGGAGGGATGGGCAGTAGTAGCAGCTAGAATCCCAAGGGGCCAGCTTGCTCCCTGCCCTGCTGTCCTCGCTCCCATCCCCAAGTCACAGGAAAGAAAACTCCAGAAGAGGAGTGGCAGGGGGGTGTTGGACAAAACATCAAGCCTCACTTCTGTACCCTGGTCTCTGTCAACTCTGGGTGAGCTGAGCCACTGTGGGCAAGTCATTCTCTCTCTGGGCTTCAGAAACCTGAGGAGTTAGCATGAGAAGCTCCCTTATCCCCTCTAATGTTACAACTTGACTCCACATCAAGAAATAACTCGCCCATCTCCCCTTTTCCTTTACCCTCCTTTCTTCCCTTCTGCTTCCTTAGGGAACCAACTCTGCTTTTTTGGCCTTTGAGTCAGCATTGACCTGGGGTCAGCCCAGGGAAGATGTGCCCATTTGGGAGCATCTGCATGTTGTGGGGACTGGAGCACAGTGGTGGTAGGAAATATATAATATGTAGGATGTAGGCTCTGAGATCCTAACCAAATAGCCATTCCTGGGCATAGAAAAAAGGAGGCTAATCCTAAGAGAAATCAGTATGCAGACAAGAAGGGACAAGCCTAGGGTTGGCCATTCTAACTGGCTTGGCCTGCGCCAAGATCTCCCTCCCAGGGACCTTGATTGGTAGTCAATAGCCAAGTGAGGTGGCATTAAGGGCCAGCCAGTTCCTACTAGCAGCATCTGTAGATCTAAGCCCCGGGGGCCCCAGGTTCTGGCCTAACCTACCTTTCCATGCCTAGATTCAGAGGGCCAAAGGGAATGCCAGAAATCACCTAGTCCTCTGGGGCCCCTAGGTGGCTCGGTCGTTAAGCGTCTGCCTTCGGCTCAGGTCATGATCCCAGGGTCCTGGGATCGAGCCCCGCATTGGGCTCCCTGCTTGGCGGGAAGCCTGCTTCTCCCTCTCCCACTCCCCCTGCTTGTGTTCCCTCTCTTGCTGTGTCTCTCTCTGTCAAATAAATAAATAAAATCTTTAAAAAAAAAAAAAAAGAAATCACCTAGTCCTCTCTACCCACCTCACCCCCCCCATTATATAGATGAACATCTAAGGAGGGAGGTGACTGACGCAGGCCACTCAGCGGAGGGATCCTGTGCTTGTGATCCTGCTAGTGCATGACTATTCTGTCTTGTTTTCTTGTCTTCTCTCTCCACTTAGCTTGAAGACACACTAAAGACAAAGATTTCACGAGGAAGCATAACATCATCAATAGCGCACCTTCAGAGTTTGGGGAGACTGTGACTGGGGTTTGGATCTGGGCTCTGCCATTTGCTTGTTCTAAGATGTTAGCAAGTCCCTTGCCCGTGAAGTTGGCACTTAATATTTGTTGAATGAATGAGACCTAACCTTCTGAACCTCAGTTTCCACAACTGTAAAATGGAAATAAATGATACCTGACTGCTTCTCTGGTAACAGGAAAAGGGTCTGTACGGACAGCGAGCTCCAGCAAGTGGGTTTTGTCTTCTGGGTCACACTCGGATTCATCTCTTGGGCCTGCCCAGTGTGGGGCAGGCAGCATTTGTGGGTTTGTGAGAATGCCCTTCTCACCAACTCTCTGCCCTTACTCCTCAGCTAGGATCCCTGTGTTTCCTCCTCCTGGCCCTGCCCCTGGACCAGAAGCACCCTTCAGGACCCCTCCCCTTCCCCAGAGAGCACTCCTGGGCGGATTATTGAGATCACAGACCCTTTTGATGTCCAGCCTCCTCTGAAGGGCCTCATGGCCAGCCCCCCTCTATTTCCTCACACTCACCCCCAGGGTCCCTAGTCTGACCCCCACCTCCTAGGAGCCAGCAGAGGGAGCCCTGAGCCCCGGGGCTGTGGGTGGGGGCTGCATGGGGGTGGGGGAGGTGGGTGGTGGAGAGGGGGCAGAAAAATGTTGCCTGACGGCTGCTGAGGCGGCTGGGCCCGGGCCTGTGCCCGGGCCTGTGCCCGCCCGCCTGTCCTGTCCTGCTCTGTCTAACTCGGTAATTTACTGCTCCCCCTCCCCCAGCCCCTACCCCCACCCCAACCACCACATCAAAGCCAGTGATGCCCCAGCTCCATTAACCCCTGCCTCCCCACCGCCCACAGACACCCCATTCCCCCCCTCTCCCACACTGGCCCAATCGGGTTCCCTCTGCCTTGTCCTGGACACTGCCCTTCCCCTCTCCTTCTCGTACTCTTGGGAGAGGCAGGGGCTCTCCCTTCCCTGATGGCCTTCACCAGTCGAGAGGGCGTCCTATCAGGCAGGGCTCTGGAAGGCAAAGGAGTGGACACACTGACCCTCCACTGGATTCTCTGTCCTGTGCCTCTGCTCTCCCATGCTGTGGTGGGGAATACCCAGGTGAAAGTGGGGCTGGGGAGCAGAAGGGGCCTGTGGAAGGCCCTGTACCCCTTTCCTGACTGCACACAGGGATGAGGTACTCAGCAAGAGGTGGACTCCCAGCCCTGGTCCTCACTGCCTATATCCTGGGTGGCCTTAAGCAAGTCCCCTCCTGTCCCTGGACTTTGCTGGACTTCTAACCATAAGTGAGAAGATTGGCTTAGATGATCTCCAAGTCCTTCCTAGATCTAATTTCTGGCTTAGATGAAGGGCTTGGAGCCAGAGGAACCAGCTTTGGAGGCCAGGTGGAAAACAGAAGATCCCTCCCAGCGACCTTTCCCTCCCTCAGCTCCTCCTCAGGCTGATCAGGGGAAGCACCCAAGATCTCACCCCACTCTGCCCGGGGCAGGAAGGAGGACACAGGCTAGAGGGCGCTCTGCCCAGTCCCTGGGGACAGGCTGCTGTGTTCCCCAGCGCCTCCTGCTCTGGCTGGCTGGGCGCCCTGCTACCAGCCTGACCGCGGCCTGGCTCCCGCCCCGCCCTCGCCTCATCCCCTCCACAGCTGCATTTCTCCATCAAAGTACACATTCTGGAATCCCTCTCACTGGGCCCTGGTGATCAAACCTCCCACTGACCTCCCCCCCACCCCACCAACTCCTGGCTTCCGATGAGAATGGGGCAGGAGGGGGTTGTCCCCCCGCCACCAGGAAATGTCACAGTGCCAGGACTCTGGTGGGCTCAGGGCATGCTCTGGGCTGGATCGAGCCAGCCTCCTTTTGCCCCTGCCCTTTTCTGCTCACAGCCCCATTGTCTCCCTCCAGGGGAAGCTGCCAAGCTGGAAGGCCTGGAGGGGGGGTACTGGATGGCCACCCCACCCCCATTCTCCACCCCACCCTGAGCTTGATGGGGGCCAGCCACCGGACTGCCCACAAAGGGTCAGATAAAGACGCAATGGAAGAGGGTAGCCAAGCCCAGCCTGGAGTGGTGGTGTGGGAGGTCTAAGCTGGACAACCTGGGTGTCAGGAAGAAGCCTGGGTCCTTTCCCTGACTCCCTGTGGGGCCAGAGATGAGGCTGTCCTAAGCCTCTGGTTCCGATTTCCTTTCCATAAGGCGGGGGGTGGGAGGGTGGAGAGATAGGCAAGATGAGATGGGGGAAGGGAGTGAGACTGGGTGCTGTTTTGCTTGTGGAACAAGGGGGAGGGTTGGTTTCTTTCATAGAAAATATAAAACAGAAAGAGGAAGGGAGAAGAAGGGAGATTGATTTGGCCATTCTGTGAGAGTGAGCTATGTTCCACATCCACTGATTGAAGGCATAAATAAAGATGGGTCAGACAATGAGAAGAACTTCCTGGGGGAGGGAGGGAGGGGCTCAGAGAGCAGGCTGGAAGGGCTGGGAGCTGGTGACCAGGAAACCTCGGACTTTCCGTCTCTTCCTCACTCTCAAAATGGGATCTGTCAGGGCCAGAGCACTCCAGGATGGCCTGGAGGCAGTGGGCTGGACAAGATGACCTCAAGAGAGCCTGGCCAATGTCCTGGAATCTGGGATTCTGCGATTTACAAAGATACGGTTACAGATGGGAGAGAGACAGACAGAGAGGCTGGAGGCAGAGTTTAGAAAGCATGCATTGCATGGAGGGGGAAGGAGGAGGGGGAAAGAAGGTGGAAGGGAAACTTTTCTGGAACCTGGAGCTAGGTACCTGAGCCTATTCCAGGACCTGGATCACTCCCCTACAGGACCCTCCTTTCCTAATCTGGACAGTCCAGTCACTCAGAGTTCCTGGGGTCCTCTCTGTTCCCAGCGTGGCTGCTACTAGAATGTCAGAGTCGACTGCAGGGGCTGCTGCCTTCCTGCCTACCGCTAGAACTCTGGCCTGGTTAGCATTCTCTGAGAAGCAGGGAAAAGGGGGCCAGCAAGCAGGTCCTAGACATCAGACGCTCTGGGCCTGATAAAGTTCCTAGCCAAAGTAAAGCTGGTGTAGGGGGGCAGTGTGGGGAGTGAGGGGTAGGCAAGGAGTGGCAGGAGCCTCAGCCTACTGGGGATGCTGGGTCCAGCCCTCCAGCCCAAGCCAGATCTTGGAGATCGATGGTGGGGTGGGATGGGGACAAGAGAGTAAGCAAGTAGAGTCAAAGATCCTGAGAAAGGAATCTGGGATCAGACCAAAGGAATGAAGTGTCGGAAACAGAGGAGAGTGAGGGGACCAGTGCAGGTGGGAGAGGCAGGTTCTCTCTGAGAGGCAGCTGAGAGAGGCAGTTGCTGGACACCTTATCACCCCAGCCCCTCACTCTTCACCCAGCTCACCCTGCAGCTGCAGCCATGAAGGCCCCTGTGTTCTCCTACACCTGCCCTCCTCACCTCCTCCCCCACTCCCTGCTTCCCAGCTTCAGGGTCAGTCTCCAAGGGACCAGGCCTCTCTCCCTCTGGCTTGTCACCCACCCAGCAGGCCCTCCTGAACAAAGGAACCCTCATAGACACAAGTCTCAGAAAGGCAAATCAACCAATTCAGCAACACTCCACAAGACTTCCCCAGCACCTTTAGCCTCCAGGGCACAAAGACAAAGGCTCTGCCTTCCAGGAGCAAGGAAGAAGGATCACAGAGGGGATGGTTGTCCCAGTAACTGGCATAGTTGCCCAATGCGTGGGGTGCAGTGGGAGCACACAGAAGGCGAAGGAGGAAAGACAAAGAGATAATGTTATGGAGGATGTGGTATTCTACCTGGAAGGATGAGAATGATTTGGAGAAATGGAAAAGGAGTAGAGGAAGGGCAACTACCATCAGGCAGAGACCCCTGTCTCCATGCCTTGAGAAAGGGCAAAATGAGAAAATATGAGTCTGGGAAACAAGACAGAGATCGCTTTACAAAGTTTTGCTTGGGACTCTGGATTTTAAATTTAAATTAATCCTCCTTTTCTGGCCTACAGAAGCTGCCCAGGAGAACCCGCAGCGTGGAGGAGGGTGACTTAACATTTACAGAGCACCTCCCGACGCCATATCATTTTGTAGGTAATCCTCCTGTCCGGCCTACCAGATAGGGGGACTGTTTCCCAATTTTATAGTTGAGACGTTGAGGCGCAGGGAGAAGTGACTTATCCAAGGTCACAGACTTAACAAATGGCCAAGACTGGATCTCAGGTCTATTTCAAAACTGACACTATTATTATACTAAGTTATGCTAAGCCAGGATCGAAGGACGCAAGTCCCCTAACCGGGACCTGGGTCATCCTCGATTTGCTCCCTCGCTGACACCCCCGAGGGACATCTCTCCCGCATCAGGAAAGAGGGCTCGCAGCCAGCAGCTCCCTGTGTGGGCATCCAGCTCCCTATCTCCCTGGAAGAGAGGGATCTGCCGGCCCCACCCCTCCTTCCAAACCGGGGGGTGGGGGCGGAGTGGAGGGTAGAGAATCCAGCCAATGCTATGGCGCTATGCAAATAGACAAGACCTTGCTTTCTTAGGATTGGCTGATGCATCAGTGATACTGTCCAAGTCCCTCCTCTTTAAACACCCAGCTATTCCGGGCGGGTCTTTGCAGCTCTGGAGAGACCGGGAAGGAAAAAAAAAAAGTCCACGGGATCGAGATCTCTGAGAGGTCCCGACCTGGCACCCACCTTCCTAGTTGCTGTCCATCCCCAAGACTCAAAGTCCCCGCGACCTTAGCTCCGTAGTTGTCTGCTCTAGGTAGGGCCAGGTCTGGAGGCCACGTCTCCTTGGTTGGCCGGGCCTCCCTCCCTTCCACCGGGACCCGCCACGACTCCCAGTACCTCCGAAGCTGTGTTTTTTCATTTCTGACCCCCACATCTGGAAGGACTGGGAGCCTGGGTCCCTTTCCTGTCTTTCTTCCTCTTCTTTGCTCCGGGAGGAGGATGTAGAGAAAGCCGGGGTCCTGACTCAGTTTCCCTTTACGTTTTCCCCCCGCCACTACTGTCCATTTGAAGTAGCCCTCAGAGAGAGGCTGGTGGGTTTGTGGAGCAGCGTAAGGCGGGGAAGAGACAGCTGTTTGACCCTCTTTGCCTTGTGCCTTCCCACCTTGTTCCTCTCTTTTCCACAAATCCAGTCCTCCTCCCCTAAATCCAGGGCCCTCCTCACACATTCTTTTCTTCGGATCTCTGACTACAGATCTCCCCCCCGCACACACACACCCGCTGTCTACCCGGTGGCTCTTTCTCACCCACGTGCCAGTTCCTTGAGGACCTGGATTGAGCGCATAAGCGGAGGGGGAAACGGAGGATGGGGAAGGGTGTGTAGCACAAGATAGGAGGAAATACAACCGACTGTGCGGAGTGGAGGTTTCGGAGCGTCTGAGCGGCAGTTTAGAAGTGGCCCAGGCGGGGGCCGGCAGGAGAGCGGCACGCACCTCCCCGGCACCTCTCCAGCGGCCCGGGGGGCTGGGCTGGGCTCGCAGGTAGAGCCCGGAGGCAGCGGGAGCGCGTTTGGCAGCCCCCCACCCCCACCGGCCGCCGTCGGTCCCGAAGCCCCCGCCCTTGAGCTGCCCGAGCCGCGCCGGCACCGCACTCACCACCACAGCCCACCGACGGGCGCGGGACACAGCAGCAGCAGCAGCAGGACGGAGGGCGCGGGCGGCAGCATCGCGAGCGCTCTGCCGCCGGCCGGTGCGGTACGGGGCGAGGCTGCCGGGCCAGCCGCGGCGCGCCGGGGCGCGGGCTTCAGGGCGAGCGCGGGCTTCAGGGCGAGCGCGGCGAGCGCGGCGGCGGCGGCGGCGGCCGGCAGGCGAGGGCTCCGGCGGCGGCGGCGGCGGCGGCGGCGGGGGGGGGGCCCATCGCGGGCGAGGAGGGCGCGGCTCGAGGCGGAGAGCGGACGGGGCCGCCAGCGCCTGTGTCTCCAGCCGAGTTCGCTCGGGAGAAGAAATCAGAGCCGGGGGCGGGGGTGGGAGGGGAGCGGGGCCCCGGCGGGGGCGGGGGCAGGGGGGCCGTGGGGTGGCAGTTGCGACAGTCAGGCGGCGGGACTCTCGGGAGGGAGCCGTGCGCCCCGGGGCTGCAGGCGTGGAGCTCAGCGGAGGGCGGGTGCGAGGTCCCGGGGCGGGGCCCGAGAGCGCCGGTGGCTGCGGGACGCGCCTGCCTCGCCCCTTCCCTTCGCCCCTCGCGGACTGGGAGCCCCCCGCCGCCGCCCAGAGTCAGGGGCAAGGAGGGGCGGGGGAGCAGGGTGGAGAGGAGTAAGGGCGGGGAGGGGGGGTGGAAGAGGAGCTGGGGAATGGGGGACGGGCTGGAAGGGAGACGTTTGACAGGTTTGTTGACTGTAAAGAGAGAAAACTTCCCAGGAATGAGGGAGTTGGGGGGGGGCGGTTCGGAGGGAGATGCTGGAGCCGGGGCCGGGAGAGGAAGTCCGCCTGGGGCGCTGGGTGCTCCGGGGAGGGGTGCCGAACTCGACCGTCGGACGGGCGGACTCAGGAGGGGGTCACCCCTTACCGGCCCCGCCTCCGCACTGCACGCCCCTTTCTCAGCCTTTCCTCGAGGAAAGGAGGAAGCCCTAGGCCTCCGCTCTCGCTCCCCAGCCACCCCGCCTCTTCAAGCCCGCGTTCGGGGGAGGGCTGCGAAGGGGAGATTAGACAGCAAGAGGAACCTCTTGGATGGCCTGCGCTCAAGCGCTCGCACGTGTAAGCGAGCGGTAGAGCTGAGGTTGCAGACTTGCAAGAGATTAGGAGGGCAGATCTCTCTGCAGCCGGGCCTCGCGTGTCCGCGTGTCCGCGTGTAGCCTGCCTCACGTTCCTTCCCCAACTTGGCCGGGGCCAGAAGGGGTGGAAGAGCCAGCTGCAGGTGAGATGGTGTTTATCTGATTCTCTAATGCCACAAAAATGTCTTTGATGCTCCCTCCCCCACAGGGGGGGATCAAAGGCCCCGTGGGGAGGGGGGACAGCTCCATTCATCACACCAAGCTACTGGCAGTGGCTGCAGTCCCCGCTCCTCCCCTCCGCCTGCTTGCCCCAAGGGTGCCGAGGGACAGGTGGTGCAGGACATTCCATAGCAAGCGCCAGTTTCCCTATCACCGCCATCTAGAGTGGCATCAACCTTTAAAAGGGGGGAGGAGTGGATCTCCCAAGTGGTAGAAGCTTCAGGCACCCAGAGGAAAGCTCCTGGTCTTTTGGGGTGGAGATAGCATCTGAACTCTGGGAGCGAGGCCGCTGCCAAGAGACATAAACATCCTTGGTGAGCAGAGAGAAGGCAAGATTGAGTCCCCCAGAGAGTGGGGACAAGTGAATAGAGATTCTGAAGCTGGGGGACGAAGGGGATGCCACAGAAGACCATTGATGCCTAACCCAGGGGACGAGGCAGATCTGGGGAAGGATGGATGAGCAAGTGGAAAACAGAAATGGAGAAACATTGCCCTAGGCACATGGGGAAGCTCCTAGGTTCGCTGTGAGCCCAACCCCACGGCCAGTGGTGTCCCGGCTGTGTCAGTCTAATGCCCTGTACTGGGGACAGAGAATTTTGATGACGGGGCTGGAGCACTCTAGAGAAGGGGAAGGGACCCTGGGTGGGTCGTCTAGTGGCTGAGGGAGCTAATAAGGGGCACAGGGCCCAAGTGTTGCCCCCTCCCATTTTAGCCTTTCATAGCAGCCAGCTACCACCCATGGCCTCTGCACCTCTTAATTTTGTACGCAGTTACTGTTTCTGCAGGGCAATGCCAACTTTGGACACGGCACACTCAAAGACAGACCCAGGCTGGGCACACACTCAGGCCAGATGGTACTCAACAGGCATCTGGAGAGCTTTGCGGGTTCCTAAAGGCTGCAGGTGGCCAGTGACCAGACCCCTGGGAACCACTGCCTGGGTTCTGAGTCCCCTACGCACCCCTGCCCCCACCCTGCTACTGTTATTGCAGATTATGAAATGCTCTCCCTATCCTGCATTCTTCTCCGAGGCAAGAATTTTAATGTATTTGTCTTTGTCATCAGGGGACCGGGGCTCTGGGACCGCCCTGCCTCTGCCTGAGGAGGGAGCGCCCCAAATCTAGTCCCTGCTGTCTCCAGACCCCAGCCTCTTTCCATTACCACCCCCTCATGCCCTAGCCCTGCCCCTCGCCTCCCTCTCCGAAGACACAGTCTCTCTGTGGGGTGGATAAAAATGATGTTATTGAAACAACAGAATTGGGAGCAGTGGCAGGGAGCAGGGATAAGCGCAGGAAACTGGGGCGTTTGCCAAGAAGCCTTCTCCCCCGCAGGCGGCCTTTCTGCCCCCACCCCCCACCTTTCCTACAAACACACACAGATCGCCCCACCCCTCCTGCAGCACTCTCTCTGGCCAGATCTTAAGGAATATTTGGCCATCCCCAGATTCCCTAAGCCCTCATCCCCCCCAGAGTCCCACTGCAGAACCCATTGGCCCAGCAGTGTCTGCAGAAGCACTGGGGCAGGGGAGGGGTCTGCTGGAGTCTGCGATGGGCAGGCCTCGGCTCCGAGGGCAACTGTGCTTCTGCTTCCTCTCTTTTGCTTTCTCTGCACCCCCACCTAGGGGTTGGCTGGCATCTGGGCAGAAACCAGAGCAATGACTTCTGCCCTTATGCATTCCAAACCTTTAGAGAGATGAGTTCAGATGTTCCCGAGGCTTCGGTCCCCCACTATTACCCTAGAAGACTTTTCATGGAGCAGGGCTGGGGGGACAGAGACAGAGGTACACAAAGATCAAGATGCGTGCACACACATGCACACTTGCGCACATCCACCCACACCTGGGCAACGGGCATCCAGATAACCCCACAGAAACACCAGGACATCCTTGCCTCCCCTGGACAATGCTGAGTAACTTTCACCCACAGGTACAGATGGACACACAGACGGGCTGGCTCAGGCTGAGACAGTGCCTGCCTCCCTGGAGATTACATGCACTGCTCCCCGCCCCCCCCCCCCCCACCTCTGCTCAGACATGCATGTGGAGGAACATTCTGGGAAGATTGGAAGGTGGCAGCCCAGAAGGGGGCAGCATGGAGTGGAGTGTTGCCACTCTGATCCCCGCTCTGTCAGTCCTCTGGGCACTGGGCCCCCTCCACCTCTTCCTCTGTTGCTCTGCCTTTAGTTCTGAGAACCTTTTAACTCCACTTTTAGGCCCTTGTGCAAAAGAAAGAGGGGGAAGGAGCACAGGGATGTCTGGCTGTGGGATGGGAGAGGGAGGAGGAGCAGAGGTGGGGATTGGGGAGGGGGAGAGAGGCAGCTGGAGAGAGATAACATCGGAGTCGCTGCAGGGGAAAGCAGAGCCCTCTGTCTGTTGGATCCTCTCTCTCTGTCTTTCCGTGCCTTTTCATGTCTCTTCCATCTCCAGAATTCGGTTTCTATTTGTGTCTGTCTCTAAATCACTTTCTCTGCTTCTTTGTTTCTCAGAATGACTGAAGCTGCAGGAGCCTAGGAATTTGGGCCTGTGACCCTTCCCTTCCCAGTAACCTCCCTCTCTCCCTCCCTCTGCACCGTCTTCCCTCCCCCTTCCCCAGCAAGGGGACCTGATTGCCATTCTTTCAGGGTGGTGACTGGGACTTGAGAATTCCTAAGGGCCCTGGGTGTCTAGGTTCTCCAGGAGAACAGGGAGAGGAAAGCCTAGTCCTCTAGAGAGATGAAGGGAAGGAGAAAGAAAAAGGGTCATTTTCCTCTTCTGTACCCGGCATTGCTCCACTCCAGCTTTCCCCAGCCCACCTGAAGTCAGGAGAGTGTGCCTTTCCAGCCAAGGGTGGGAGCTCAAATGCCTGGTTCCCACTTTAGCCCATTGGATCCCTGCCTTACAAGCCAAGTTTCCTCTGAGACCCCCTCTGGGCCTTTGTCCAAGGGAGCCCCCCACCCCATATTCCAGTTCCCCACAGAGTCCACCTGCCCCACATTTTCCATATCTCTCAATCCTACCTACACCCCAAACTTCCGATCACCCCATGAGTCAAAGGGAGAAAGAACTGGAGGGGGGCTGTGGAGGAGCTCTGAGGAGGGGAAGGGGAGCAGAGGCTGAGAGGGAGGGCCTGCTCGCCAAGACTGGGCTGGAAACAGCCAGAGAACATTTGTTTTCACTTAGCTCAGCCCCAGTGGCCCCGGGTGGGAGCGGTTGGCCCCAGGAGCTTCTCCAGCCGTCCAGTCCAGGCCTGGCTCCTGCATTAGGGCCTGGGGGTGGGCAGAAGGACCCTGGCATGGCCTCAGGTGTTCTGGGAGGAGCCTCCACCCTCTTCTCCATCCTCCTCCAGGAGACACCCCCTATCCACACTGCTTCAGCTCCCACCTCTGAGGGAATCAGGGCTTTCAGTCTCGGTCTGTCTCCTAATTGTGTTGGTGTCTGGGGCTACCTCTCCCTGGGCAGAGGGTAGCACACTTTTAATTGAACACCTACGGTGTGCCAGGCGCCCAGCTACGTAGCGGAGAAACAATGGTGAGCAAAAGCAGACCTAATCCCTACCCTCATGGAACTCATGGTCATTAATCATATCATCTTACAAACAAATGGAAAACTGCAACCTTGACCTGTGTTGTCCAGGAGAAGGGAGGGGCCGTGAGGCTCTGGCTGCAGGGGACTGGCCAGTCAGGGAAGGAGGAGCAGGCTTCTCTGAGGAGAGCATGCTCCCTCGGAGATACAAAAATAAGCTGGAGTTAACTGGGAGACACAAGGGAAGGAAGAGCATTTCAAGCCGAGGGAACAGCCTTTGCAAAAGGCCCGCAGGGGTATGGAGAAGGCATGGGGGCACTGCATCAAGGTTGGCATGGGTTGAAAGAGAGTGAAAAGCAGCCTGGTGGGAGATGAGGCTAGAGAGATTTAGGGGGATCAAACCAAGTCAAGCCTTACAGGCATGGAAGGGAATGTTTTTCTTATTTTAAAAGCGATGGGAACTCTACAAGACAAATGCACTGCAAGAGGGAAGAAAAG